TCATGTCACTAGCACTACCTCAAGGTACAATAATTTTTCACTGGCAGTTTCTCACTAATTTCTTGTGCGTAGGCCCAAAGTTTGTTATTTTAGCTTTTACACTTGAGCTTTTACACTTGAGCTTATTATTTTTCTGTGGTTTGGGGCATAGCCCAGCGGCTGACGTGATATTCTGCCTGAATTTTTGCATTTACTGCTTAGCTTGGCCGGGAACTCGATTATTTTTTCCAGACATCTAGGACTACCGCTTCGTTTTGCAATGCACCGCGCAATAAAGTAGTGTTGCTTTAGGTTTCGCAGAATTAACCACGTAAAATTCCGTCTTCATTGAAAAACCTTTGGGGTGCAAATCCAAGCGTATTAGGCATGGTCTTCTCCTTGCCACTGTAAACGTGTTGATTGTGAGCTACTTTTGGTGTTTCAGTGTCTGAAAGAATGAGTGAATTTGGATATTAATGGACATCAGTGTTCTGCAACTGTGTAAGCTTTTAAACCAAGAAGAAGAAGCGAGTATACTTTTTAAAGATGATTTTCATATGGTGGTGTATATTAACTTCTGTCAGTGATGCTGAACTCTAAAAATCCACACTGTACGTCGCAGAATACCTGAGCTCCTATTTGGTTTGCTCCTCGACCAGAGGAAATATCGCTTTGTCCGTGGTAATTCAAATGCAGGAAGACAAACGTGCTCATGAGATTGGTTATTGTCTTGCAAAGCTCTCGTCGTCATCCTCGAGGACAACATCACCGCGTTTTTGGGAAGTGGATCATGGCTATGCTTTGGCAGAAAAGTGCTGAATAACGGTTTGGGCGACTGTGCTTACATTTCCCAAAGTAGGTGACATTCCATGACGATTTTTTTCCCAGGTGAGTAGGTTTCGTCACTTCTTTTCTAACCTTGACCTGCCAGACCAGTCACACTGTTGATCTTGTTGAATTATCTCTTTGTTTGGTGCTCTGCCATGTTTACGCCATTCTCGAAAAGTACACTCATTTGCAAATCAATTTGGTTTTCACGAGAGACTCAACTGAATCTCTCGTTTATGATATTCTACAACTGAATGTGCTGCACACAGGCCGCGTCATGCTTCAGTTAGCATGATATTCGAGATATGGCAGTATATTTTCATAAAGAAAACTATTCACAAGTTTGCAGAAAACTCTTCGATAGCCCACGACCGGTTTCGCTCTTCTTGTGTGTCGGCCCTACAAATGTCCTAAAAGTGATAATCAAGACCAGATCCGTACAGGCCGAAATCCAGTTTCTGTTTTGGTGACGGACATAGCACTTTGGCATAGGGGACGAATCGTTGTACATCTTGATAAACAATTCCAATTCAGATTATATTTTGCTCTCCGAGACGAAATTGGCATCCAAAGTAGAGCGTACGAACTAGTGAAATTTTGTAGTACCGGCCTTCCGGTTTTCGGCAAACGTATCAGAAACATTAAATTTTCGGCAGTAAACAGCATCCACATCACTCCTCAGACACAATTAGTCGGAATCTACGAGTTTAAAGATGTGCTGTATGCAATGCCGCCAGTTTTTGGAACCCCACTTAAGGACTAGAATGACTACTGCTCTGTGAATATAAACTCTTGTGAGAAAGCATATTTAAACGTTATGTTTAAGACCTTGAGCAACTACACAGGAATGTACCTTACTGTATCTATCCTGTCGGGTTCGCCGTTGTGTGGTATACTAGGAGTTAAGAATTGGGGTACACCAACCCTTTCGTGTTCCTCATCTTTTCCTTGATGTTTACTTTCATAAAGACAAAATTGGCTTTTTGATGTGGATTGTAAATACGGTCAACTGTGCCTAAATTGCCCTATCAGGAAAGGTTTGTGTATCTTCTGTGTTATCACCAATTAAGATCACCATTTTTGGGGTCAAGAGTCTCAATCCTTTGGCGGGGTTCAAATTAATGTATCAGTATTATTACGAAATTAAAAAGGATGGACAACAGAGGAATTCATTCTTTCGGAGAAAAGGCGAAACTTTGTTATACATTTAAAATCGGGCTAGTTCATGACTCTTCAAGGTAGATGGCACGGAAGACTGTGCGAAATTAAATGGAACAGACAATCTGTCGGTGGTTTAGCACAAATTTCCAGCATTGGAGCAAAATGAACATCTGATCTGCGCAAATTATCTAGGGGTAGAAGACGTCCTTATTGGGTCATGTTCAAGTACCACATACTCTCGAAAAATTTTCGACGAACGTGACAGGCAATGTATTATAGGGGATATTTTTGACATTGTTTCCCTGATAATTTACGCACACATTTTTACCTTTTCTAAATAATGGGAGGACAACTGCAATGTCAAAAGCAGAAGGGACGGAAGCTCCTTCCAAGATGGGGAATAATAACGAATGTAAGGATTTTTAGAAGGTACTAATTTTTTAACTCGGTGTTTCTGTAGCGCTCTTCCATTTAAGGTGATGGTTGACCGCATTATTCTTTGCTTTGTTAGGGGGATTCCAGTTGGTGCGGAACACTTTTCTGGAAATCGGTGTGGTCTAGTACAGGATAAAACAACCTGCCTATCGTCCCCTTTTTCCCACTTTAGTTGCTGCTGGTAAAAGAAGGGACATTTTCGCTGAGAATTCAGTAGCAATCAAAAACTGACTGGTTAGAAGTCACTTGCTACGGAACTGACTAATTACCTATAACGAGTATGTGAAGAGTATGCATTAGTAAGCGTCCTCTTGAGCTTTCCTGTACGTTCACTGGATAAAAAACAATAATAAGCGAACATTGCAAGGCGGTTTCATAATTTCTGGTTTCTTGGAAAACCAGAATTCGGTCATTTAGAAAGCTGTTCCTTCATCATTGTAGTGAGCGTTGCTTGAGGGTTTTTGTATTTTCCACCTTTCATTATCTTCGTTTGAGCTAGCAAAGTGTTCGTTCTCAGCGCTCTGTAAAACTCAGAGGAAGTAATCCACGGATTAACGGTAAACATGAGTTCATCAGTGTTACGAGTATCAAATTAATCAGGTGCCGTAATGCCCGTGATCAGACAACTTTTCATGTCAAACTTATTAACTCTCACTTCTCGTTAATATTTGCTGACTGGTGGAACTAGTCTTGGATGAACCCATAAACGGACATTTTTTTGTGTTTTGGATTTCAAATCGAGTTGCACCCATCGTAAAACGGATCCTCCCTGGTACCTTGCAGTTTTTAACTCACATTTTTCCACGCGTGGAGAAAATGTGCTCCAACAGGGGTCTGCAGAACGCAGCCTCACCACTCAGATTTGAGCTGTAGCTGGAGGCAGTCTAGGTTTATGAATGAGATTAAGTGTTGCGCACTCTGACAGGAAGATGTGCAGACATGATGAGCATATAGGAAAACTGCTGCCCAGTCGACAGTCTGAATTCATCTGTGTATTTCGAATGCACTTGGGCACAGTTTCGTAGGTATCCATCCTAAACTGATTCCCAGGAAATCTGCACCCACCTGAAAGTGTAGGGCGGGAACAAGCTTCTGGACAGGTGACGCTGTTAAGTACTGAAAATGGTTTCTGCGATGGGCTTGCCTATTCACTTCCGTGCAGTGTGCACATAGGGTTTTTCGGGACTGAGCGCAAGGTTTGGGTTTCATAGAACGGTGTGCTGTAACGGTTGGGTTTCTTTACACATGACAAATGGACATTCACATACGACAGGCTGACACATGCTCCCTACTCTGGCCACTTTGATGATTGTCGGTCGAATGCCAACACAGTTTGGTTCGTCCTGTACACTCACCACTAGTAGTAAAGTGGTAGTGTAGATAAGGTAGCGCCTGTCTCTAGATACGGACCGGAGCGTTGACAGTAGTGATGATCCTTCAGCACACTCAAACCGTTGCATCCCTTTATCTCAGCTCATATTCGGATGATCGCTTGACACAAAATAATTGACACCGAATGCTATCCAGTCACATTTTGCCGTTTAACTTGCAATTTGGAAGACAGGATAGTGGTAGAAAATTAACGGAATCCCTGAAAGGTTGATGAATCCACATGAACTACACTTGAGAAAGAAAACAGAATTTGAAAGTTTCTCGAGTGCATGAACTTCTGGAGATCCCAACACAAGAGTGCGTGTAGCAGTTTGTTAAGGTCGCTCCTTGTGTAAACGGATTTCGTGAGAAATGTCAAAATATAACTTGAAGAACACCCTTACATGATTAGCAGAGCATTGGCATTCTGCGTATAAGTGAACAGAAAGAAGCTGATGAGTATAGAATATTGATTAATTAAACAAAGCAGAATAAGTTTTGGTGATTCTTTAGGCTGGAGTAGGTTGATGCACCGCACGTCTAAGTGGTCCTCTTTGGAGATAACTACCAATCCAGAAAAATCAGTGAAAAATCCTTGTGATTCAATGCTTTTGAACCAAAAATACACCACAATTTTGTACGATATGTGCATACGAACAGAAATCAAATGCAGAAGTTGAAGGAATGAAGCAACTAAACAAACCGGGTCCCCGCCCGAAAATGTTTAATGAATTCCCAGTATGTATGGACTATAGGTGAAAACTCCCAAGTAATGAGTGGCTGATTATAAACAAAAAGACTGCCTTATCGCTGCTGTTGACCCGTAACTGAGTTGGCTGTTTAACATTGAGTGTGCTCTTTTATTTGCTCTGTTCCCAGAGAAGGATAGACAATACATATCACTAAATATATATAAGGGAGATGAAATCCCTCCACAAATACTCTGCAACCTTTTAAAGGCTGACATAAAAAAATTTTTCCTGATTTTGTTTTTTTTTGTATTCTTCACCTACTTTGATCACACGACTGTTCAGAGTATCTAAAACGTGCATTGTGATTTGTCATATTTCCCCCTCTCCCCACAAGTGGGTTTCGCAAACATATTCGGAAATTTATTCGTGTCATCTAATGGTGTATTTTTAACCGTAACCTATTTTAATCATCTGCCACCAGTAAACTCGTCATTCCTTGGCAGGTTTGGAGGAGATCCTTCATCAGATTAGCGGTTATAATAATGGAAACGTTGAAAAAGCCGCCACTGCACACATTTCCAACCCTCGCTGGACCTTTACGTATCCCTTTTCGCCCCAGTTTTCACCCCAGCTGTTCTTGATCAACCAGTAAGGCACTCCACGTTCCTCACCATAGCCGACAAGAAGCATTGCGTGGTTCACATCTTCACGGATTATTCCGCAGTTTGGCTCAGAATAAACATCTGTAATTAAAGGATGGAAATAAGAAAAACGGTAAAATCCTGACATTCTATAGGTTCGATTTGGAGAACTGGCAAAAAAGCACTTCTCATATGTGCTAGTCGATCCATGATTACGGTTAAATATCGCTTAGAACTACGTGTTACATAAGTGGCAACTTCCCTATAGTCTCCTTGATCCGTTCGAGATTTGTGTGGTTTTGTCTTCTGTATGTTTTACATTTGTTTGGTTAGTTGCGCAAACTTTTCTGATGAGATATGGTTAATGTTCTGATGCACTCGTTTAGAATTTGTGTGATGCTTTTCAGGATGCTTGAGTTTGACTGTGTGATAACGACACGAGCCTGTAGTCACATCACGGTATGACAATTGCTTCTGAAAACTTTACACTCACAGTTGGAAATGAAGTACCTCCTCAGTCGCGCACGCAAATACGCACGATACTCTCTCAAGCCAAATGTCTACACAGGCGAGAGGATCAAAGGCCCCCTATTAAAAGACCGATGAAATCAACAGAGCCGCCACTATCTGAACATACCTACTACGCAGAAGCCCAAGTTTTGGTATTCATAGTGCAGATGCCGTTGCAAATCACACTGAAGATGCATGTGTCTTGATTTGCTTTGAGTGCCCATAGCCTGGATGATTATTACTCATCATTAATTCTTTAAAATAGATTTATTAGAATTTTCTTCTGACCTTAGACCATATGCTTGCGTAGAAAACCCTTCTTTTAAGTTCGGCAAGCTGTCTAGGGTTTTTGATCATCTTCACTGTAATCTGCTGGGTCATCGAAACAGTAAATTTGCTAAGAGGCATCGATACATTGTTGCTGGTTTGTTTGCTCAACTGGGCAATGTGATTGCTAACGTTTCATCACCAATCGAGCTAACATCATTGGTGCGTTTTTGGGAACGCAAAAGAGCGCAGTGGTTGACCGGTGGTTGTGGTTCAACCACATTTCCTGAACGCTTTCAGTCAAATTTATCAGCTCAGAGAACAAACCAAAGGCATTCTACGCTACCTGCGCTACCAAAATCCTCCTAAATAGACATTGGTATTTTTGAACCGGCGTAATGCGTTAGACACAAACTCAAACGTGGTAATTCCACTCGGGTTTCAACATTATTTGCATGAGAGTGTACTCGTGTCGGAAAGGACAAGAAGTTTGCACCTCGAATTAATCACTTTATTTGCAAATTCACAACGTCTCAATATATGCTATCTTACAACAAATACGGAAGATGCCCTAAAACATATGAGCGATTTTTCAATCGAAGCCATGATATTCACTCCGAAAATTTTGATACCAATCCTGAATAAGACTGTTTGGAGTGCAGAACAGTTATTCAGGATATTAGCTCAGTCCGTCGATGTTTAAACTGCCCCAAAGTTTGACTGCTTTTGGATTATTACTTAAAAAGACGAATAACAAACCTTCCCTAGTAGTTTGTCTGTTTATTCTGGATATCTGGATGGTGTGAATGCTCGACCATGAAGTATCCTTTTAAAAGGACCCGCAGGAAGTTTTGAGTTCTAATTGTCACTCGCTAACTTGTTGGACTAGACTGCCGGGGTTGATTTTGGCAGCATATTGCGGCATACTGATTAAAATTTTGATCAGGTATTTGACAAAACCTTTTATTAGCATAAGGCTTGAGCTAAAGATGTGTATCACTCAGTGGCAGACAGAAATACACCCTCCAACAGCTAAAGACACTCCTTTATCCTTTCCATTCGGGTTGATATTTTGGGGAGTTTTACTTATGTTACACATATTTTTTGCTCTCCGTAGGAGAATAAATTCCTCTTTACAAAACAAATTGTCAAGTTGTTATTGAACATGCTGTAATAAAAACAATGCAGATGCCAATTAGGACTTTCTTGAGGCCACACTATATCTATCCACTAAAAACACAGGTCGTATTATTGGTGTTTTTCTTTAAAACATTAACGCGATCTCTCAAAGCTACCCTTGCTAACTTCTTGCATTCCTTTTTCTTGAAAATTGTCTTATTTCTCCCTGTAATCCTAAAAGAAATAAAAAACATCCAGTTTTCCAACAATGCTTCTGCATATTCCTTCAAACGAGACTATCCCACGCGCATTACTCTGTTAGCAATACTACGGTCAGGATGTGTGGGGCATGAATGGACACAGAGATATAGACCATATCTCTCCGAAATGTTGTATTTCGATCAAAACGAGTGAGCATTATCCCTGGCAGATTTTTACTATCCGTACATGTTAATGCAATTGTCAATGCACAGAGCCGAGGGAAATGTTCACTCAGATTACACTAGCATTAAAGATTCTCCCACTTAAACCTGGCTAAGCACACTGTTTCCATGAATGTCAACCAGGTTTCTGTTGGTAAAATATTTGTAATGTTTATTTAAAAGGGATCTTAAAGCCAGTTCGTATCAAAACATGTTTACCAGAAATGTTGTACTACTGTTTACACTATGGTGTCACAAGCTCAGTTCACAAATACGTACACCACTATCCTGATACCTGGAAATGAAGGTGATGACCCAGCTGTATAATGTAAGACGGAACTATGCCAGGTGAACTCTGTTTTCATTAGGAATGATCGAGCTGAACTCACCTGATTCGTAATCCTTAAAGCTTTGGTGATTGGCATCGAATAGTATTGCTATAGGCCCATAAATAGAGACTGCTTGGAGCAGTGCTTCCTCGTCTTCAGAAGGTAGAATCACATGGCCTGAAAGCTTGATTTGCTGTTTTGTTTGGTCATAGCCACAAAACTGGTTTGGAAATCCGGTCTCATCTGAGACGTACGGGTAATCTCGTTCGAGTTCCAGACCACCGACATTTTCTACATATTCGAAGGCCTCTGAAGGATAACCACCATTGCAACCGTCCGTTGTATTCCCTCGGATACAGTCAACCAATTGTTGCGAGGAGAACGCCTCAAGTCGTTTTTCAAAAATAAAGTGCCGTCCTTCTATAGCTCCTGTAGCGGCAAATGCCCAGCACGCACCACAGTCACCTTGACGCTGAACAGGCGTCACAGCTCCTTTTTTGCGCCCAGTCGTCTCTCGCGGTGGAGGTGCAGCAATTTTAGTGAATCGTGAGCCAGAATGATCTGAAATGTTGATCCGTCCAACGCAGGCATGTTGTCGTTCATTCGGAAACTACGCAAAAGAGAAAAGCAAAGTGTTACCGGTCACACAGCAAAACGTACCCGGTCACTGAACTCATTAATTCCCCTTTTAAACGTCACCCGACCTTCCTCATACGCTTTGTTGTGTTCTCTCACTCGCATAAATGATTGACAAAATGCGTCCAACCGTTTGAACTGTTCCGGAGAATCGGTGTATTTTCGGTCGAATTCGATTTTGAATTTTTCCCATGCGAGATGAACGGTGTAGTTTAAGTGATCGTTAAGTGATTCAATGCAAGTCGGCTTGTTCTTGGGGATGAGATCGCTCTTCCTGTTAGCTGTGAGGAGTACATCCCACTCATATACTTCATAGCACAGCACATAATAGTGCAAGATGACTAGGTATATTACAACCGTACATATAGTAGCAAAAGCTGCCATACAGCACTGGTAGTGAAGTCCAAAGGGAGATTAGTGTAAGTAGCCTGCTCATATATATCCAATATGCCAGTCAGTCGATTCCGGTCGATGATGGATATTGAATATCCCATTATCGAAATTTTCAGTATACCAAGGAAGTACGAAAGCACGAGATGCTTCTAAGAAAAAGCATCATAAAGCTTATTAACTAGATTTTAAGCATTTGCGTCACAGCACTACCTAAAAATTCTACAGTTGAAATTCATAGCTTCAAGGTTGTACTGACAACTTTTTTATGGAAGTGAAAGAGACTTGAAAGTATGCACATCATGGCTCTATTGAATTCAGTTCTTTCTTGGCACGCTGAGTTAAAATTTTTGTATCAATCTAGCCATCTGAAACAGTTCAGTCACAAGCGATACCGACGTATGTAAATTATGTACCCATACCACTGTCAGAAGCAGCCGTATACTACCTTAGCCCAGACTATTGTTTAGGCAATACGAAGTTTGTCAGTCACCCTGCACTAACCATTAAAGCATATCTTCAGGTCTAAGTGCATGACCATGAGCAATGTATGATGATAAAACGAACCCTTGATCAGAAGATAAATTTGCTTCTCAGTCTCGGTCAATTGCACGGTCGCAGAATGGTCCATGGTCACCCCAGTACAAAAGGAGTAATATCTCAAACCACTCAAACCACTATCTCAAACCAGCAACCAAACCACTAACCACAACCACTAACCCACCGCTACGCACTACTACGCTTCACAATAACGCACTGATGATGTCACCTCGATAGGTGATGAAACGTTTGCAACCAAATTGCCCAGCTCAGCGAACAAGCCAACGACCATCAAACCACCAAATTTGTCCCAGCTAGAAACCTGATTGAAAAAAAAACGGTGTATTGATGGCATGAATCGGTGAAAGTAGCACGCCCTTGTTTCACACGCCATGTGAATACAAGCGATACATTTTACAAGCTATAGATAAACCTCGTTCCTAAAGAGAATCATTTGCTGCCCTGTCGTAGAAAAAGCTGAGATAATGAAATATAACCCACACAAAAGGCTGTCAAAAACCTGTAAATTCAAACCTACGATCACCCTTAAAATGAAACAAATTCACTCTAATAGTGCTTGCTACGGCAATCCATAGCTTACGTGTCCTTTTTCCGGATTTCTGCAGATTACTGAGTTGTGTGTTTATAATGTATTTCCCATCGAAAATAAGTAAGTGAATCATAATTATTGAAAAGTAGTGGTGAAATGTCCCCGCCATAAATGTGACTTTCTAGATAAGAGTTTAATGGTTAAGCCGTAGTTGACTGTTGACATAACAGGGTCATATGTGTTCCCGCGTAGTGTACACAAAACACACCTGTGAACGCATAACTTGGTAGAAGAGCACGACAAGTTTCAAAGTTAAAAGTAAGCATACAGAGGGAAAGTGAAAATTGGGCTCATGCGAATGCTACAGTGGATCACACAAACATCCTCACAACTAACTTTTGTTCGGATGGAATGAGACCAACTAAACACATATAGATAGCTTCAAGACACTATGTTAATGTTTCCTTAAAAATCTCGACTTATTGGTTATTAGAAAACAGAGAATTACAGATACATTCCACTCAGTAATGCTGTGTGCCAAGTTTAGAGGAGGGCTTTCAGCTGGCCTCAGGAATTGTCGTGGACTTGGGCTGATTTATGGAGCCAATAGATGCTCCGTAGCCTGCAGCTTTGTGTTGAACACTCGATTAAATATACCTCAGAGTTGCAACATTCCCGAAGTGAATGAACTGTCAGGTAGAAGATTTGAGGCCTCCAAGCATTGAATTGCCTGTCTGAATTAAAATAACGATGCAACCATCGGACCAGTGTGTACTGGTCTACGTGCGCTCATCCATGTGTGGATAAAATCAGTCATTCCTATTCTCACTCACTCTCTTTATGTGCAATTACACATGTATACTACTGGCAATAATGACTGTTGCTTCAATTCATAAGATAAATTTATGCTATGAAGTCTAGAATGAGGAACCAGATAATGAGCAGTGATTCCAGCAGTACTGGCGACCTCCCTGAATTCTCGACCGTTCGGCTACGAATGAATGGTTAAGTTTGTGTTTAACTTATACTGAGGCAGGGTATAACGCCACTCATCCCTCAATGACTGCGTGAATTTCACCAAGATACATTTTGATCGGCCCAATTCGAGTTCATGATTAGTATTGCACCTGGTGAAATGAGCCTAAGAATTATCTAAGGAAGTCGTTAAAACGAGAATACTTCGCATTTTACAGAAATGTTAATAAACTACTGGACATCGAGCAGATTAACTATACACTACTTGAAACGTTTAAGTAGCTGAATAAGGAGATAAATTATCCCAACTAGGTTGCACGTGAATGCGCTTATCCATGATTTTTGCAATATTTTCAGGTCAGATCAGCTTTTTCTTGCAACGTATGCCATTTCAGCAAAGTAATAAGGTGCGTTCATGTTTTTTAACTTTTCGAGTGACCAAATACTGTAGTTTTACAGTCAATGTCGAGCTGCAAGCGTTTGCAGTCCCACAACATTTTGACACCTGTGTTCAAATTTCGCTCGCCAACCAAGCATACGAAAAGCAAGTGTCATGCGTTCAGATGTCTACAACGAACCAAGCACACATCCAACCTTTTTTGGATGTTGCCGTTGTTGATGATAACAGTGTTATACTACGTTGGCTTGGTATACAAGGACGCCCAGTTCCAAGCGTACAACTATAATGCCCTCAGTTGGTTACTATAGTGATGCTTTAATAGCTTTATCAACCTGCGTGTGATGGACTGTGATCAGCATCCTGACTCAGAATAAACGACACTGGATGATGGGTATTTGCTTGATTTTACAGCGAAATACAGATACTGCAATAGAAGTAATACACACCATATTTGTTGAACGACCCAGGTAGACTACAAGCACCACCAATAACGTACATATCAAATACTGTTTCAGTTAAGTTGTCCCGTGAGTACTTTTGCTCGGAAAATGGACACATCGCAAGGGTTCATGATATAAGCGCACCGCAAATTTTGGAAGAACCAATGACTCGGTTAGAAGGGCTTAAGCTGAGACTATTGCAATCGAAGGAGATTGATGACAAGTTGAGTTCTTTAAAGCAGATACATATTTGGTCGAAAATAAGAGAACAACTCGTATCAGAATGCTTTATTATCCGTCAGCTGCACTCGTTCTGGCGGAGATTGACAATGCGAGTTAAGATGATGGCAGTAACAACCAGATGACAGTGGTTGAGAGCAATCGCAGGCTTGATGACCATGATTGATTGAAACGACTGTCCTCCGAATTATGAAAAGGTACTCAAACACTCCTCGATATCACGCGCGACATGTGAGAGAGATGATACGAACTTACTGCACTTATTTTTGCATTCACCGGATAATCCATTCTCTCATGTTCTAACAAACCGTCAAGGATGTTGTCTTTGACTTTTGCTTCAATACTCTTTTACTGGTGTCTTTTTTGCTACAAATATTCACATTCTTTGGTCATCCAATCAAGCAGATCAGCTGATAGCCTACACGTATACGCCAGAATGTCCAAAGTATATCCAGGTACCTAAGTGATCAAAACCGTACTTCTCTGGGACATTCAAAATACTCCGTTGTTGTGTGGCAACGTGAGGCTGAAACTTTAACCCTTGCTATACACCACGCAATATGACACAATATGAACGTTTTGTTATCCTATGTAAATTTTTAGTCCTCATGTCTAACTTTGTCACAGTCGGTTAGCAAACAAAGCTGTTTTCTACATTCTAGTGCTATTTATGTCAGATGCCGTTACACACAATTCTGCAATCCATGATTTTTCACATCTACCATTTTTATCTATGCAATAATCACTGCATTTCGGGTGATTGTGTTTCAAATCATTTGTTGTCCTCTACATGGTTCACTTAGCACATGTCCAAAATTAAGCTTTTTGGATTGACCTGAAGTTCCCCCTTGTGTAATCAATAAGAGGAATTTCACTGATGACCCGATATCAAACCCTGGAATGTGGCGCAAATTAAGAAGCACGAAATAGCTGTAACTTATAGCAAAGTTCAACAACTGCAAAGTTTTACTACGCCGCTTTCCCCTATTTCCTCTTCACCCTCATATAATAAATGTACTCAAACACGCAAGTGGAGTGCTCTTCATACGAAACCGAATTACCATCTGAAGTAAGGAAGGGATGCCAGATAAAAAATGTCGGCCTACAACAGTTAGACCAAACTCCATCTGTCACTGATGATTGGTAAATCAGGAATTCCCAACCATATTGAGACCCACTATTCTTGAGATGTTGATTATCGTTCCCCCCTATTCCAGTGATCCGTTAGTGAAATTGTGTTTTAAGCTCTTTATACTGAAGCCCAAATTATCCTAAAAGCTAGAGGTACCAGTCTCTCTTCAATGGCTTTAACCAGCAACTGCATATGAAAGCGTGGTGGTAGATGTTAGTAGTAAGCCACCCGCCCATACATAGGCTTTGTCTATCCTTGCACTATTATTCTGTTAAGTTCATATCAAGAAAACTGCACCACGGTCTCGTCCTAAATAACACTTATCGTCGACATATCTTTGGCCTTCTTCAGACATGAATTCCGGCCGTTCAACATGATGCTACTAAAGCCGGACTACTATATAGGCATGAACCAAACCTGAGTGAGGTATCACGTCGAAACAAACAGTTTTGTGCGCACTGGATATACATTTGAGATAGACTCGAAGCCTTGAACAGTGACTCAGTAATTAGCAAGTTGTTTCGCTTGTTCAGTTCAATTATCAATTGCAAGCAGTCTCAGAAAAGACAAGAACTGGTTTGACGATTATTAGGTTTTCTGTGTGTAGGTGTCTAACATTCATTGCGTTGGTGCTCTGATAAGCGTAAGGCATGGTCCCAGTGTTCCTCTTTCATGAATTGGAGTCTGGAAAAATCCCCTTCTGAGAGAATGGAGAAGAATGAACTTGAAGTTCGTTGAGAATACACTACAAATTCAACGCCTTCAAATGTCATCAGTATATCAGCACGTTCCTCAAGCATATTTTAGGCGTTTCTTGTGTGCTCCCATTTTTCATTTTTTCCCTTGCTTCCCTTTTAGGACTATGTATGCACCGAGAAGATTCTTTTCTGTGTTCATCAGGTGTCCCATCTAGAAACGTAATCCCATAGACGGTCTGTCATTGTGCACATTAGCGAATGACACGACTAAACAGAGTTGATGCTAGTAGCGTAATTAAAAATGTTGAATCTCGTCATGATCTTCGAAGCACTTTGAAGCATCTACTCAGTGTCACTTCTTAACTATTTTCATTGAACACCGGTCTCCATACGTTCATGCCATGATTTTTGAGCATATCCAAGTCCTTTTTGTGCCTAACATGAACAAAACTTTAATGGCAATGTTACTAATAATGGATTCACGATAGCTTCGTTAACAATCTGGCAAGGCGGCGTTTGAACACTGAAATATACTAACACCGGTGAAGCGATGCAAGCAATTTAAACCCAGGAATGGAGTAACTGCCACTCACTTTTCTTGCAAACTTTGAGTCAGAAATTGAATTTCGTACTCACTGACGTAAGTACTAATTTCAAAATCAGTGTTTACCAGCAGAAAGTTCGTCAACAGTGAGGGATTGTCGTGGTTAGCAACGTTTCGGAGAGGTTTGGTAAAGTTGCTCAGCAATAAATCCCCCGATTGCTTATGAAACCTCTCTGGAACGTCTGGGTTTATTTTGATGGCCTGCACACATTCGATTTGAAAATTATCCGACAAATTCCAATAATAATAGTGGAAATAAGTCTGATAGCTACCAGACCACAACGCACTGGATTACGCTGAATATCCGAATCATTTTTGGTTTTCTGGGAAGCTACACAATTGTGTGACTATCTTCCCGAAATTTTCAGTACCTATCTGACGTGGTTGTAGAAGCGATGCTTTTGGAGCTACTGGACGATATTCATTATTGAGGTCGTTTCACAAGCCGTCAGATAGATGGAAGCCACGTGCGGGTGTGTGAATTTTTTTCATTTCAAAACAGACTGGCGAGTTCTAACCGCAGACTTCTTCTGAGATTCCCCTCATCTTCAAAAATGTTTTTCACTATAGAAGTTCCAATGCTGTTTGGAATTTGCAACTCGGAATGAACGCGCTTGTGAACTGGCATCAGCCCGTCCTCCTAGCATGCTAGCTTGTTGAAAAAATGTGACGCTCTCTAGCCAACTGATATGAAGAACCGCTCATCAAGTGCCCACTCTCAACGTCAGTGATATTTTTCTTCAATACCTTTGCAACGTCAGGTAATTAGTGGCAACCTCATCATACAACCTGAGTCGTTTCTCGTTGTTGAGAGGGCCTCTATTATTTTCCAAAAGACTGTATATATTACCCGCGAAATAGAGCTGTAAAAATTTACTTCGAGGTTTACGAATTAATGTGACCCACACGGAATTCATCAGAGCTTGTCTTCTCCGGGGGTTTTGCGCCGGATTACGACAATATCTCGAGAGTGAGTCAAATTGAGCGATTTTTGTTTTGACGCTGGTTCCAAATGTCCTCTCCTACAGAACAGTCAATCCACCCGCCTCTGACCATATATTTGAGGCCTAAACACAACTAGTGGTAGTAATTATTTGAATACCTATGCGCGTACCTTATTTGCAAAAGTGTATATAGGACTTCAAGTTTCTAAATAAATCGCGTTATTCGTTCTTGCATAGATTGGTCCCTTTCATCGGCGACGCACTTAATGGAACACGCTCACGGAAGTCTTTCTGGTGTTTTACCCTTATGTGGATAGGCTGTACTTTTATGACACACTCACTGGCTCATACCAAGGTAAATCAGGCGCTCACATCTACTGGCCACTGCGCACCTTCTTGTCGGGTCATCTGACTGCGCTTTTAAAATGCGGTAACCACAAACCGATTCGATACCGTAAAGGGGGAAATTCGATGACTATCAGAACTGACACATTCCTCCGTCCTCCAAGTAATACTATGAATTGTGCAACGAGTTCGCCAAGTTTATCCAGCCTGAGTAGCCGAAAGTAACCCTACATCTTGATGCTTGCCTGACCGTGGTCCCCAATTGTGAAGTTTCTTCATAATCACTAACCTAGTGAACCCTACGTAACAGTCACCTACCTGTGCACCCTGAGAGTTTGGAATACAGAACGTTCAAGATTATCCATTCAAGCGGACAACATGTGTAATTTCCCCGTTATATATCGTTTCACTTGTGGTCTTTTTCTCCTAAGTTGGTCGGAGTAACTGATGGCTAATGTCCTAGACCCCGTGGTTGCTATACGGTCGAGTATCATGCATACTGACCCATGTATCACCTTCCGCGTTATTGGTAGCTAAGTTTCTCACATATTCGGGTTAACTCCATATCTCCATCTGGTGAGAATAGAATTCGGCCGATAATCTTTGTGATAGTGACGGATTAATTTAACCTCCTCCCGTACAGGCATACTGCAAGTGTGACAGGTGGCTCCAGGTGCGAAAAAATGGTGTATGGGCCTTCTTGCTTATTGTGAGTACATTCCTGCGATCTCTTCCCGAAAGGCATCGCGATGGGCAATGTCTGTAAGTTTACCCATTTTTACGTAGTTCATAAAATATTTCCAGCTCGTGAAGCATTTTCGCTTCTTTTGATTCGGAAGTCTGTGAAACTTCCAGGAATTAATAATAAAGTGTACATACAGAAGCTATTGCAGCATGATTGGAGCTATGACAACAATTTTAAGGAAATACAAGTTGCAAAAACGTATGCCTTCGACGTGCACGTCAGTGCACGCCGAGTATTTTTGACTTCACCCGTGGTAACCTTTAATGAAGATCATTAAAATTTGAAGAGTTGAACTGTGTGTCTTTACCCGAATTCGGTATTTGTAGCGGCTGACTACTCTACTCCCTTCCACTTAACGCTGTATTTTAAATGAAGCGCCTGAGTGTGAACTACTCGGAGAGACATCGCATGCCTTCATATTACCTGGAAGCCTTGTCACTACAACCTTTGGATATCAGAGATTTCCCACTATTGTCTACTGTTGACCTAGGGAATCGATTCATCTTTGTGGGTAAATCTTATTGGTAAAGCTGAAGTTTTTCAAATGTGATGTGGGTGAAAGTTCTCGCAATTGACAAACGTACTGATGACTGTGGTTTCCCGGTCACTTTGCTCGGACGACCTTATATCTGAGCCTTTACAGCCTAGAAATGCTCTCAGTAGGAGGCTGTCACGGCACGATCTTGCATCAGAAGCTAAAAGTGATCACTTAGAAGAACAGGGCAAGCACACTGTATGTCAATGACAACCCCGAGAATAGCTGAACCAGTTATTAGGGCCACGGCAGACAGGGGCCAAATGCCCGCTCGAGCGGTTCCTGTATCCAATACACATGAATGTACAGCCCAACATTTTATCGACCTTTGTGTCCTGAGTGGCTTCGTCGGTTTGGCCTTTGTTTCCTAGACATACTTTCCTGGTTTCAGGCAATTGTGCGTCAAAGTATTGGCAGCTGAAAGAGCCGATTTGTATAGATTTTGCCGCTCAAGATTATTTTGTTGCTGTCGTTGTTTTTGACCGTGGTTTTGGTGATGATGGGCTGCGACCGTGTCTTTAGAGAAGTGACTTTGGATGGAAAGACCAAGTTCGTTGACAGGAACCCAAAATTGCAAGTCAGTTGGATGTATTTACAAACAATCACCTCGAACTAAAGAGTGTATTTTTGTCAATAAGCTGGTTGACTGTCCTTTGTTTGCAAATTGGTGTGAGAAATCTACCGAGTTGTTAACAGAGGGTTAGAGTTACACCAATGGATATGTTGACAGAGACGCCACCCCACACATATTCACCCCGCGTAGCAATCTCAAATACCCCTTCTCACCCCAGCGATCACCCCAGCTGTTCTTGATAATCCAGTAAGGGGTTCCTTTTTCTTCGCCGTAACCGACCACCACCATCGCGTGGTCCGAGTCTTTTCCACAAAGTGGGTCTGAATAGATGTCTATGATCGGAAGGGTTAAGGGTAAAAGAGTGTGCGGTTAGTACCACATAAATGAAGCGTAGAATAAGCCTCAGCCCGCTAGAGGTATACTGGATGAACTTATGGAAAGACATACATAATGAATATCTTTCAAATGACTGGCGTTTACATTTATGTAGCATTTCGCACGAATATATATACATACAGATCAAACCTTGAAAATGACCATCAGAGTTTGCTGAGATTCTCAGATCGGAGTGATCAAAAGTAGAGTAGACAATTTTGGGGTTATCCCATATGATGAAAGATTTTTTACTTGATTTTGAGACTCACGAGATTGGTTTAGTATAAGAGTTTCTTATGTTTAGAGAAAATATTTCGACATTTTTAAGATAGTGTCAGATAAAAATTGGATGGCGATGGCATCCGAGAAATGATTTTTCAAGTGAGTTCATATCGCCGTTTGCGCAAAACGTGACGACCAAGTATAGAATAGGTCGATAAACCTTCGAGAACTAGGTCTGACTCATGGGACTTATCAAGGTCTTCGGCAGCTTTATAAATAGTGTTTTGTGGAGAAATAACACTTCTGGGTTCGTAGCTGTTCAGAGGATCACACTAAACGGAAATAATTCAATGTAGGCTACATTTGTGGAGCAGGTTTCCCTTGGCGGTCGATGTATTTTCTACAACATCAACTGATATGAGCAAAACTCTCTCTCCATACTGTCGCCTGTTATTTTTCTTCATGAGACTCGTAAAAAATAAAACTTTATATTAAGCGAATTTCCGCTTTGTTCGCATTTCGAGTCTAAAGGAACAACCAAAATAGCTCAAAAAGGCACAGAAAAAGCCCACACTGAGGAGACTGACACATTTTAAGCGATTTTCGTCAGACAGGCGTATAAAATTCGAGGAGATAATGCAATGCATATGCAGCTTGATGTATGCCTATGAAATGGAGTTTACAGATTATTCATTTGTGCCATCACTTTCTGGAAACGCGAGACCGAATCAAAATACAGACGAGCCTCACATATTCATGCTGTTCTTTAAAAGGGCCTTCAGCGCAAAGGCTCCAGCTAGGTTTGAACAGGCTGATTTGGGAGGACACAAATTCTATTTTTTTTAATTTTGTCGTACGATACTTCAGTAGAAACTTTTCGGCGGGTCGTCACCTGTTTTCTCCGTTTGGATCATGACTAAAAATGAAATTCTTTAAAGTTTATTCAACGTTTTGTTAAGTTTGAATAAATGGTGTCTATAATTACAAAAGATGAGTTAAATTTTCCATGCTGCACTTAAGTAATGAGCCTGGTCTCATTGACATTATTGGACAAATTGAGACAACTTGAATGAGTAAATTAAAATAAGTTGTTCCACTGAGTGACACTGATGTGTGTCCAGGATTTTGCTGCGAAAATTTCATACATCAAATATCTGCTATTTCAATGCGAATGAATTTTGAAGAGTGCATTCACCGGGTAAGGTTCGAATAGACTGACATGAGGTAGGATATCTCATAGAAAGTGTAGGGGTTTTGTATTCCATGAAAGCCGAAGGCCACCTACAAGCAATTAGAGCAGATATACCTTTTAGGGGGCTGAATACGAAGAACAACGATAATTTTGGGGATATTATGTTGTTCATATACCTGAAGTGTGCTAGGATAAAGCTGGAGTTTGTGGATGTTCGTCGTATGAGGAAATCACACACGGGTCTCATGATTAGTGGCATGCATTAAGCAGAACTGTTGGGATATGTGAGTGCAGTTCCAATGCGTAAGCGCGGTAAGGATTACTTTGCTTGCTAGCTCAGCTGCTGGAATATCCTCCGGTATGTGGGAGGTCATCTGTTTGTGTCTTAACCAAGGCGTACTCATTCGTTCACATAAAATAAGGAAAATTCGTTTTATCTCTCCTACCGTAGTCGTTTAACAACAGGCAATACACCTTTTTTCTGTTAGTTACATTTGAGCGCCGAGGTCGCTTGCTGATGGAACACTATTAAAGTCAGTTAAAAGGCTTGGTCAGTGACTCAACGTGAATTAAATTCCATGTTGTCTAAAACATTCTTTTCACCTCCTAGGCGAATTAGAATCTGGGGATCGGTGACTTTTTTGGTCCCACTTATCCGACATATTTAGCAATGAAAAGAACAGCTAGCGGACGCCAGTCATGGTAGTTTCGGTGATCATTAGGTGATTGACAAGACTGATGTAAAATTTTAGTCATCTGAGTTTGGCGTAGAATCGTCTAACCACGCGAGATTCAAGGTTTATCTTAACATTAGGCAAAAAGTGCGAATGTGAATTTCTGCTACATAGAGTAGCTCAGCTTTCATATAAGCTCGCACGCTCGCCTGTACATCAGCAGCTGGCTGGACAGTGGTTGAAACGTAAGATTTGTTCAGGGTGATATGACGGGACAGAAATAGTGGACATCTAGTTAAATCAAAGAGACCATTTATTCATGTTCACGGTTGCTCTTAGAATTCTCGTGATCTCCTCAGCACTCTCTGTATCATATTAATGTCCAGATTACAAAAGTCACCGCTCGTTAATACAAGTGAATATGTGGACTGTTATGGCAGACACCAGATAAGTCTCTCATAATGATGGCATTCCGAGTGCTTCTGTGTGTCTTCTGGATGTTTTGATGGATCTCTTTCAGATGTCTCTTTATTGCTTAATTTGAACCAAAAGATCAAACGACACTTTACGTGCATCACTGACAAGTACAAAAAGCATGGTGATGGAAACATGTGCACCCCAAACCACCGGGGGCATCTGGTTCAATGTAGCCGAAAAGACTTGATATAGAAATAAAACTGTTTCCACTACTGTGACCATGCAGTTGGAACAGTTAATCAGTGCCCTATGGCAAAGTTGCTACCGGGAGTAAATTTCCAAGGAACACTTCAAACCGAATCTATCAAACAAACTGTTTGGGATGCACAATTAGAAGGTTTACTTTCGGCTTAACTTCAAATGCAATGCGATTTGTGAAGCAATAATAATAAAACAGCAGAAGGTTTTTGTTAAAATAGTTTATACCTCATGCCAAAAAATATCTCCATCGATTTTCGAATTATCAAAGAAGAGCTGAAGGAAGAATTCATCCATCGCTTCACTTCACTGTGTTTATGAATTTGCCCGATTCCTTAGAGCCAGTTATATCGGTTGGAAGACGGGAAGGCTTATAAAACATGTCTGTGAACACCCCGTCCCTATGACGTAAGGTCAAAGATACTTTTCCGTGCTGGACGGAATCAAGGCTCTCATTGCCTTCAGATCAATGCAGCAAGCAGAACAAAAACTCTTTGTCCTATACTGGGACTGGTGTCTATACAGGTACACAAAACATTTCCCACAAAAGTCTCGTCATCAAACAAGGTTAAACCATCATTGTCTGGTATGGTTGTGGTGTGGTGTTGTTCGGTAGTTTATCTTGTGCAGTCACTGAACAATTTTGACGAATAAAGTAGACTGGTATGGTAAAAGTCTTTTTCATGAACCATGCGACTGTTTGGTGATTAATGAAGTGCTTGACATTATAAGCAAACAGACATTTGTCAGATATTTGTCACATGTGAATTGGTTTAGCTCCCTTGCGTAGTTTCCCTATGGTTGCACGTGACACCGAAGTTGCCACAATACGTCTGTGATAGCAAAGTGAAAACTCATGAAACGATTTATTATCATTTCCAAGGTGGGTAGTGTTCAACCAAGACAGGCAGAACCGCTGGTAACATGGAATGCTTTTTCTAACGTATACCGTTTCCGGTGGACAATGGGTTATAGTTGAATCACTATTTTATCAACTTTTGGAAAAGATATTGAGAATTCCCTCTTACAAACGACCGCAATCTCATCGCCAAAGACCAATTAGTTTCTTTGATTAGATCCGTCCGGACAATGTCCAAGCGAATACTTTCAAAAACAGAGCAAATATCAATACATTATGATGTCGTTGATTTGGAGCTTTTGGACAGCAGCCTCTAGATAACGGTATTCTGGTGATTGCTGAGGTAAGTCAAGTAAGATCGTGGTCATTCAGAAACATTAAAGTCAACTTACCTCCTCGGTAATCCTTGAAGTTCTGCAGACGGGAATCTACCGATACTGCAACGGGACCATAGTACCCAACTGCCAGAAGTAATGCATCTTCGTCAAATTTAGGAAGAACGACAAATGCACTGACCTCAGCCATCCACTTCGTCGAGTCAAACTTACATTCGGGATTCGGCCTAAGTGTCTTATCAGAAATGTATGGATAGTCGTGCTCACGCTCCAAACCATCAGCATCTTTAAGATACCTGAAGGAAAGTATGGCATCTCCTCCAGCACATGCCTTATTCCCATACTGTGAGCTACAGTCGATCAGTTGTTGTGTGGACAAGACTTCAAGTCGATCATTGTGTATATACGCATGTCCTTCCACGGCCGCCGCGGATGCAAATGCCCAGCACGAACCGCAGCCACCTTGGCTTCTGATAGGTGTCACTGCTCCCTTTGTGCGCCAGTCAATTGACTTTGGTGGAGGTGCAGCAATTTTTCTAAATCTCGCACCAGAATGGTTCGACAAGTTCACAGGGACGTGTCCGCCACAAATATTTTCTCGTTCTTTCGGAAGCTATTCAAAAATAAAAAGAAACCGTCAATTACCAAGCAACGACAGATACCCAGTCACTGAATTCATTGATTCCCGTTTTGAATGTCACTTGGCCTGCCTCATAGGCTTTGTTGTGTTCTCTCACACGCAGAAATGATCGACAAAATGCATCCATACGTTCGGCATATTCCTTGGTATCGGAATAATGCCTGTCGAATTCGGTTTTGAATTGTTCCCATGCGATATGAACGGTGTAGTTCATCAGGTCATCCAACGAGTCGACACAATTCAGTTTACCTATGGGGATGATGTCACTCTTCTTTGTTGCTGTGAGCAGCACATCCCAGTCGTAGACTTCGTGACCTACGACACAATTGTGTAATAGAACGAGGGATAGTAACAGTGGCGCATTCATGGTGCACGCTACGAATCAGTTGTAGGGTGGCACATTGTTCGTGCTTTCCCTTTATATGTATTGAGGGTTGGTTGATCAGTGTCCAATAGTCCGGGTGGACATAAGACTTGTACTGTGAGTGACATATGGCGACCCAGTTTTGATAATACGAACGCGGGCGCAGTTGCGTTGATAATAATATCTCAAAAAACCACGTTTATGAGCGAAATTGGAAGACTCCAGAAATTCTTCAGGTTACAATGCGATGCTGATTCACTGAACACTGCGAAAAGTAGTATATTCGATAACTCTCACGGGAGTAAAATTCCCTGCTTATACTGCATGACATACAATTTTATAGAAGCTTTTACGTCACATCCTCATAGTCGAATTTAGCTTCCTAAAAGAGGAATTGACCTGCCAGCAGGACGACACCTGTCCATTTGCAAAACTGTGACTCATCCTTCATGTGCACGGCAGGTTAATCTAGAAATTCCTCCATGTAGACATATGAACACCTAGAAAAAGGACCTCAAGTTTTGTCAACGGTTAGATAGGGTGGCCTGAAGCCTCATAAGATTTTTAAGTTTTCCTTTTCCATGACCATATTTGGCCTCCGACTGAAGCCACGGAAATTAGGGCTAAGCTGCTCTAAGTTATATGTCTGGAGACATATCTCATGACATCCAGGAAATCCGCGTACCATATATTGATGAACGGGCCACAGTGCAAATTTTTCAATCTGTTAGTGATCATCTACCATACGTAATGTGATTCTGGTATGTCATCTACTTTTGCCATGCCTGTACGGAGACTGGCTTCAAACTTCACAGGCCTGTAATAAAAGTTGCTCTCACACCAAGTTTTTGACATGCTCCGATTTGCGGGAACCCTAAGAGAGGACGACGTAATATTGTTAGCTGTTTCACACAAAGAAGGGCAACAATGCCCAGCACGGTGGGAGTTGGAAGCATTCGCGCAACTCAAACATTACAAAACATCTGGGAAAGTATGCAAGCTGGCGTGGACCGTTGGAGCTGATAAAAGAAGACGGAGGAAGTCAGTGGTCATTATCAGCTGACTGAGTTAGGAACTGGTGTGACATACAGCGATGCCTGACAAAAAAATGAATGGACCTTGTGTGCTAACCGATCGGCGGTTTTGGAGGCCGGAGGACAACAGCATTCGATGGACCAATGTTTCGTTCCAATATGCCACCGCATGATTGTTTAGCTGAAGTTTATGTACTTCAGCCACGCCTTTACTGTGAGAGGAAGATTGGAGAAAGCCACGCTATCGCCAAGAGAAATACGGCAGCTGAGACAGTCAGAGTCTTATGTTGAAAGCCCTCTGAGTTCCATGTGTCTCGTTGCAGGCCCTGCATACTACCAACCAAAATGGCGATCCGTGTCAAGGAAACGTGTAAAGATATGAACACCTCCGATTGCACACAATGGAGGCCTTTGCCACAGGGGAATACATTGGTGTTAAATTTCTTCAGAGCCTCGCACAGTAAGGTACTTTCTTAAAACAAACCTGTGACCTTCCGGACGTTGTTGGTGATGTAAAGTCGGGGCATTGACGACTAGGCCGTGACAGGCAATGAGAAGTCAAACTGGGATCCCAGCTTTATAGCCTAGTTGAAACTGGCATGCAATTACAACATGGCAACTGAGAAAACTTTTGAAGTAAAACTTGCAGCACACGTAATTACCCACCTTCAAGCAGAAAGCAGTTTAAAAAATTTCCAGCCGAAGCAGCACGTTCGCAGGAATATTTTAGCCGTCGTACTGTTATGTGATCTATACTTCCTTTTTATTCACCTATCAGCCCTTCTCAAAACCAAGACTCGGGTCCGCTTAGACCATTGTTTGATTAATTTCGTGCCACCCCTTTATTTATCTCTAATTCTAACTGTGATGTAAAGCTGCACGCGTTTACTTTTGCGGCTAAGGGGAACAATCTGGATGTTGTTTGCCTCCTTAACACGTTACCCAAGTGGACCCAGTCTTAAACACTTTTGACTATACAGGAATTCAACCTACTTCCAGTGAGCAAGATCAAAAGAAGTATGGGGAACACGTCAATTGTTAATGTCTTTACACATTCTCTAGTGGGATTTCGCAATTGGTTTGTAGAAGCAAGTGTTTGTTTTGTATACTGAGTGACTGTGAAACGCCACGATATCAAAAGAAGGGAACACGTCAATTGTTAATGTCTTTACACATTCTCTAGTGGGATTTCGCAATTGGTTTGTAGAAGCAAGTGTTTGTTTTGTTTTCTGAGTGACTGTGAAACGCCACGATCGGCTCCATCCAGACTACTGTTGATCGCAAAGCGCTTGGAATCTCACTACTGGACCCACAACCTTGCGTCAAAAAGAAATTTGCGAGACCACTGAACCTCGACTGACCTCTCTGACACTGACATTACTTATTTTACTGCGTGACTTATCAGTTCCCCCCCCCTCCTCCAGTGATGTTTATTCCACTGAAGTTAACGCAATTTTAAACTATTTCACTTGGTTTATAGTTCCACATAAATTTCTGATATACTAGCCAAGAGAAACAATCGTAGAAAAGACCCTTTGCTCGCTACCTGCGATCTTTTCATGAATCCTTAAACGGCTGGTCAAGCCGTGGACACTAACTACTGGCAATGCTGTGGAATGTAGGTAGCTCGGGTGCGTTGTTTGGTTCTTGGTCTGTTCGCCGAGCTTGGCAGTCGGATTGCAAACACTTCATCACCAATCGAGGTGATATCGTCAGTGCAGGGTTGAGTCTACGAAATTCGCAAAATGTATAAATTTGCACGCCGATTTGATTCCGATAGGACTTTTCATGTAGTAGTATTAAAAATCGAAGTAGAATCTACGTGCACGAAGTACACATGCTTTGAGTTAAATTAATGGCAAAGAAGCTGTTTTCCTGGGTGTCCAACACATTTGCGCGGCATGAGTTGCAATTAAGCCTGCGGTACGCTTTTACCCGAATTCACCACATCAATTGTCCATCATCATCGTCATCATCATCGAAGCATGACATCAGTGTTCAACACCGATGCAGCACTGCCGTACAACCATGACTTATTTGAAAGCCTTATTGTAAAGAAAAGAATAAAGGTGGATGGGGGAGGGACTTAGTGTAAGCTTAACACAATCATTTCTAGGTGCCTACACCTCCAGACATTCACTCAGGCAATCTGGATAGAAACTGACAACAAGAACGCCACTGACATCGGTTGGCAGCCATATTTTGTAGTGTCTCCAACGAGGCACAGTGAGGATCACGCGGTCCTCATCCTGGAAGGTGAGTAGCACCGACAGCGCCCAAGCGCTGCGTGATCTGCTTCATACTCCTCTACTTCATACACCTCCTCATCGCAGCTGGTCTCAAGTCACGTGTGTACAGATTCCCTTTTAAAGGAAAGAGAGCAGCATAAATCAAATTGATCGCTGCCCACCGCAGACACTTTGCACTATCGAATGTTTACTCAACACCACACTTAAGGGTCTTTGATTCTACTGAATTGGTCAGATGTAGCACCTATTGATGTACCACCGTTTTGCACAGAGATAGCAGTAATAAAATAGGAGTACTACTCACTACCTACATTTCTATCGCAGCCGATTTTGGAGAATTAGCAGGCGACGACATTGCTGAAGCCTGTCGTAAATAGAATCTATCGGGAGGTTACGGAGGTGTATCAGTTGTACTGAAACCATTGAAAGATGATCAGCACCCCATCCGCCCAGAGCTTCAGGAATGTTGCAGAGGTTCTCCTCTCTTGGGGTAGGTCACTACAGTACGCCCTCTTGATACTTTTGATGCGAGGACTTGTGCCATTTTCTCAAACAGTTCATCCAGTTTTGCCCAAACAGGTTGCTTACAATCTAGGCGACCTCAGCTAAATAGGACCCAGGGTGCAAATCATACGTATATAAAATTACGTAGCTGACTGTCTCACGGCTACAACCATACTTAGGCTTGGTCACATTTGATTGGATGGAGAGAGCAAAGTTCAGTGGTTCTTGATTGCTTACGGCATATGGGGTTGTTTGACGATCCGTGACCGACAAAATTACGTGGAATTTTCAAAGCAAGATACATAAAAAGTTCAGTGAGCCCAATGATCAGATCCATAATATCACGTATACGGGGTGATGCAATATTTCATGCCAACTCACTCACTCAACCCTGGACTGACGATGTCACCTCGATTGGTGATGAAACGTTTGCAATGTAACTGCCAAGCTCGGGGAACAGACCAACAACCAAACACTAACTACTCTTTGGATCTACGGTAACATAAAGAGGTGGGGGGATTACTCAATTAACCGCGCACTGATCATCTCTTCTCAAATGGTGATGAAAAGGTTAATAATTACATATCTAGACAAACAGATCATCAGCAACTTGATCAAAAGCCGAAAGTTGGTTGCATTATAAGACTAAATTGTCTGTTGCGTCACTGGAATTACAGTACCACTATGTCACACTGGGTGAAATGATGTCGATCGGCTTAAGCTGGTATACAGTAAAATGAATTGCTTTTTCTCTCACAATCGATTTGTGTGATTGTGTAAATAGTGATATCGTCTTCTGATGCCTCAATACATCGATCATTTGACAACCCCTCAAGCCAGCCAAAAAACTCCTCCAACCGCTCTATTGTATTCGTTCATAGACATCATGCTAAATTTCTCCGCCTGGTATAAACTTCGGCCAAACTGTAACCTGATCACTTGACTTGAAGATGAGTCTGTTTCAAAACAGAAGCATGAACCTGCTAAGAAATCCACAGATTGCTGATGGACTCCCTTGAAATGGTGACCACAAGTTCGATCCCAAATAATGGCCGATTTTTCCGTTTCATGACAGTCAGCTTTATGAGCAGCGAGATGATCTAATAATTGACAAACTGACAAGGGACGAGAGATTCAAGTTGTTTCCAGGTGAGTTTCTTGCCTAACCAAATTGGCTTGCAACTGAGTACATTTCGCTAATGTCGTGCAGTTTGGGTTCAAGTGAAACATAAAGTTGACGGAAACTCGGCGACCGCACCTATCTGATGAGCCCCAAGAAGGGCGAAATTGGTCGTAGGCTGTCGAAGAATTTTCAGCGATCTTTTAAGTGGCTTCTTTTGCCACTTTTCATAAAAGTTTGTAAGACCATCGGTAATACAGACAGCTGTGACAGACCAGCCGCAAAGTATGCGGGTATGGCGAGTGTCTGTGGTCCGCCTGAAGGACAGCTTAATCACTTGATAATCCGGGCGGCTTTCACGCGATTAGGATGCATTAGGTCACTGTATTTCTGAACAATGTTTGGAGCCCAAAGATCACCGTTGCATAGATTGATGATATCATAACTCTGACAAATATTCCACAAATTAATTTTCATCACTCTTCTCGTTGATTGTTTCAGAGTGCAATGACGATGACAGCGGATTTAGAGTATGGGCTGAGGGATGGAGGCGATGAGTGGTCAGTTTACAAAACAACCTTTCTTTGTTACTGACCTCAATGAGATTTATTGCTATCAGCCCGATTGTACTTTTCAAGTTAAGCGAAGGGATGGTGGTTTTAGATTGGGTTTTGCCCAGTGTTTGAAGCTGATCGATGGTGAAAAGCTGAAGAGCAGTGTACAGCTATCTTGTTCTTATTACGAATACTCAGTAGTGTGTATTTGCATAAACTCCAGGGAACTCCCGAACACTTGACCTTTTTACCAGGAGAGGTTGCTCAGTAATGTCATTAACTCGCACTTAGAAAGGATAAATCACCTGGAAGGAAATCACACAGCAACACAAGCAAATATTGTCTGGAACTCGATCAAAAGTTCCAGGTGGTCGATCCTGTCGCTTTTCGACAGTTTTGTAAGATTACGCAGAATAATGGTGCGATATATCTAATGGGGGCGTTGTATGCAAGGAAGCTACGCAGAATTGTGCTTCTCGAGACTACTTTCTTTGGCCACGATATTGCAATGAGAGGGATGGTCTGAGTATCTGCTGTTTATGTCGACAACGAAGTGTATATTCAGGCAAGCAAGCAGCAAAGGAACCACACAAAGCCTCTGATGGATTTTTCATTACTGCTTCAAAAATAGCAGGCAACCGCGACGAAAAGGGCATACTCCGGATTACCACGTAAGTCAGGGCAGGAGGAACCAAGTAGCAATAGTGACCAAGTTTCGAGCAGTTTCACTAATCTGTAGAAATGTGGAGGATGAAAAAAAACACTTCGTAATGGGCAAGTATAAATCCTCCGAGAAGTTTCAGAGGCATTCGTTAGGCATAACTCCGTTCTACTTAACAAGTGGTCAGATGGTGGCGTCTTTGTTCCGGAGTTACTTGTTGGATGTAAACTGGAAAATAATTCAAAAAGATGAGTACACACCTGCGTCATTAATGGTCCTTGTCAATGGAAACGAGGCGGATCGCCCAATGAACGGGTAAACGGTTGCTTGGAAGCTTCACTTCTGTTATACAGGGTGTAACCAGGTCCTTCAGATGCAACTTCTGACAAATCGTGCTTCCCACGCAAAATATGTTCATAAAAAACATTTAAAAATTTATTGAGGATGAGTTCTGCTGCATGAGTTTTCTACGGGCAGCTTGGTCAACCGAAAAATCTGGAATATAATTCATTTTGAACTAATAGTGCTCTCATAGACGCGGGATTCGAGTCTGTGTAGGGACAGCGGTTGGTAAAAACACCAAAAAAAAACAGACAAACGTCCAGAGTACATCAAACATCACATCATTAGAAGATACAGTGGGCTGAGTTCGATAAGAATGAACATTTTGCCTAATATTCAGAAATTGATAAAAAAATCAACTGTTTCATTTTCGACGCGGAGTGAAGAGGACAAAAATTACAGGGAGGATACAACACCTGATGATGCGAGGCATTCAGCCTTGAAATGCTCTGAACATAAGCATGGTTTGGTGTCTGATCAGCTTAGCTTCATTTCCTGGACCTATACCGGCCACTTCAACATCTACGGAATTTCTCGTATACGAAAGCCTGTACTGTTACAACGAATGGTTATTACGCTACAAGCTTCCAGAAAATAGATTAGTCAATTGCCTCGAGTTCTTTACGTTGAAATACTAACCAAAGTGTGTTGGTTGATAGCACTATTTCGGATAACTTTCGTCGTCCTTCTTGAGCTTCATGGGGGACCCCAATTCTAAGGGTGGTTGAAGTGAAGTATTAGACTATTCGACAACTACAACCCGATGCGAAGAGCTATCAGGCGTCAAGTGAAAGTGAGCTTGCGATCTGACCGTGAAGTATGGTGGACACAGAAAGCCAAAGAAATGGAAAAGGCCCAGAAAGCCGGTAATGACCGAAGATTATTTCATTTGATCAGTGCGGCCGGTCCCCGGAAACCACCTGTGAGCGAAATAATCAAGCATCAGAACGGAACGACCATCTCGAACAAAGAAGAACGCCTCGACCGGTGGGCTGAATACTTTGAACAACAAATGTCTCGGCCACCAGCCGGCACTCACTTACAGCCCACAGGTGAAGAAGAACCCCGGACGGTGAACGTGGAACCACCTACGGCCTCGGAGGTTTACGACTGCATAGAACCCCGGACGGTGAACGTGGAACCACATACG